CACTGACTTTGCATTAACCACAAACAGGTCAGTATACGTGTGTCTTACATGTTACAGGGGACGTCCCCGACAGTGATGGTAAGGTCAGCGGGGCGACCCGTTAGCAGGTGTTGGCCAGTGATATTCAGGGATGTTCCCCCCGCCTTGGGGCCTCTTTCAGGTGACACTCCCATCACAACTGGGTTCTAAGAAGAAGGAGAGCAGCTGTATTTCACAGTGTAACACAGCTGTTTACTTCCTGTTGCATATTAAGAAAGTCTGTCGATAGTGAGAAACAAGGACTTTTGGACTGGCTTGTGTCCTTTCCCAGTTTGCCAAATCCAAGAACTTATTCTTACACTTGGATCCTCTCAGACTTATTCTCAATAAGACAGAGATCCAAGGAAATATCTAATATATCTAATATAGGGAGATGTATTTACACAGATTTATTTAAAAATGTGGACTTGTTGAGAAATATTTGTGATTACTGATCGTGTGGTTAAAATCAATTCATCTTAAATGGTTTAAGAATAGTAAAACCTGTTTCTTAGATGTGCGACTGCTAATATTGTATGAATTATATTGTTAAAGAATGCAGCTCACATTATGTTATCATGGATACGTGGACCAAAGTGATGAGAACAAACAGAAATAATCGCAGATGTTCTCTGCTTCAAACAGTTAGAACCACAATTTCATTATTTTATAAACAATTAATAAATAGAAAGAAGATTATACTAAACTTTCACCTCTTAAAGTCACATTTTTCTCCCAGCATTGTAGGTTTTAGTGTCCTTTGATGCAACAAAAGTTTCACAGACAGGTCAACAAAATCTAATTTACTCTACCTGAATTTAATATACCTGGTAGCTGAATTTCTGTCTGGAGAGGCCAAATTCTCCTCCATTCACTCTCACAGACACATGGCTCGTCTTTAATCCGCTGGCTTTGGTCATGCACACAATCCTGGAAGACCAACATTGCTCTTCAGAAAACCAAGTCATGTTTCTGTAGTTTTCTGTACAAAAAGAGTCTGAGAAACAACAGTCGTGCGTGCATACCTAGAGGAGACCTCATACAGGTTGGAAATCACTGTGCAGGGCACGTCAGCTACTAACACAGACTGGACGATGTCTTCGGCCTTCTGACCCAGGTTGGAGCCGGAGATGGTCACCATGGTGCCTCCTTCCAACAGGCCAGAGAGTGGGTCGACCTGATGGACGCAGGAACAAAAAATCCAAACAACCTTTCTAGTTTT